AAAAAAAAAAAAAAAAGAGCACATTTTCTTTTTTTTGTATTTTAGGGAAGGGCCTACAGGGTGTTCAGGGTCTCAATACTAGATCGGACTCCTAGTGATGGGCCTGTTTACAGCCCCCATGAGCTGGGAATACAGGCGTCTATCCCCATGCCCAGTCTCAGTTGCTATCTCAGCACACCCTGGGGGGTGGGGCCAGCCTGGCAGGCCCTGGGATCGAACCCTCAGCCCCTGTGTCTGCTTTCAGGTGCTTTAATTTGTTGAGGTATTTGGCTGGCCCTGAAAATCTGAATTTTGTATCTACTTTATTATGTCAGATTTTAAATTAAATCTTGGCTTTTATTTTTACTTACTGAGTCAGTGAGATTGAAACCTTTTTAAAGCATTAGAATACTTAAAAACAACACATATTAACTGAAATTTAATACTAATCTAGGAAATAGATTGTCTTCCACTACAAGATAGGGGATTTTCATATACTATATATGCCTCAAAGACAGTAGAATAGCTTTAAGCACATTTGGTATTTACACCTTTATTTCTGTTTAATCTAGGCGACAAAAGGCTAGAGAGAGGCAGCAGAAATTGCTTGCAGAATTTGCTTCACGACAGAAAAGCTTTATGGAAACTGCAATGGATGTTGGTAAGTCAGAATTTTTAGTTTAGAATTCTCGTCGTTATAGTTACTATGTGAGGGATGATGTAGTCAGATCTTCTACAATTTGTAAACATTAAGGACAGATGATTTTTAGTTTTTATGTAAACAACAGAGTGACGGGGAAGCAGATCTTCATTACAGACAGTCAGTTCAGTTGATGGAAAGATTTTTCTGATGGTAGCAATATAGTAAACACCTCTGTTCTTTGCTGTTTAACTATCTCTTAGGTTTGTGAGGTCTGTCAGTATATATTTGCTTATTTATTTTGATCTTTTACCCTGTGATTACTCTAAGAGCTTTATAATGATTTTCAAATACTTTTAGTGTCTCTTTTCTGTCTACTCTGAGTATTTCTAAAAATCAGGTGTACTTTTTACTTCCAATTAGCCCTATAGGTTTTACAATGAGAAGGAATGTTATGTTCCTGTATGTTGATAGGTTGCTATGAATAAACTTTTACAAACATTGAAGGAAGAAACTAAATTATAGTCTTAGTTTGAGTTAATCAGGATTCTTCTCTCATGGCTATTTCTTACATTCCAGTGATTTCCTTCCTTGCCTTCTGCTCCCTACTCTCTGTGTCCCTCCCTCCCTTCTTTCCCATTCTCCCTTGTTTCACTTCTTCCCCTCCCCTTCCTGATCTCTTTTCTTCTCCATTTTCCTTCCAGTCAAGATTGCTAGGGAGAGGGGAGGAGAAGCAAAAGCTATCCATTTTGTGTACACCCCCCCACACCCCCGAGGATGCATATATTTTTTCACACCTTTTTGTGCATATATGCACTATTAACCAATGACCAGAAGAAGAATAGAGGTCAGTCCAGATTTACCCCTATGTCTTCTAGGTGATTCACAGTAAAGTTTATGTTCAGGACATAAACTTTGATGAAAAGAGTATTTTGATGTTTCTGTTCATGGGATTTAGTAGCAGATGATTTTCTCAATATGAAAATAAAGGTTTGTGCTCACTTGGGCAGGTATTACTGAAGTTGGAAAAACAAGGATGTAGTTTATAGATACTACTTTATCCTTTCCTTGTTCTCTTGCAGATTGGTAATTGTTTTTGTTTTTACATATATTATGTGTTTATGTAAATATACACAGTACTCAGTATCTCAGTACCCCTTCATATAAAATTAACTAAGAAGCGCTTCTACCCTTCCTTTCATTTTTCTATTCTTAATCTCTTCCTTTTGCCTTTTACCAGCTACTTGTGTACTTTTTAATTTGCCCGAGTTGCTAACATTTTGCTTTACAGTTGCAGTAATGTTTTTCTTCCACAGATTGACTCTTAACACAATGAAGAGTATTTATTTGTATCAGTATTACTTTGCTATGGCTGTTGAGTACAAGATTAAATAATATATTAGCAACCATTTACTCTTGTGTCTAGTGGCTTGACTCCTTAATCATTTTGAGACTGTGTTTAGTACCTAATCTCATGTCTTACAGTTCTTTGAGTGTGAAAACTTACAAAATTTTGAAGGTGTGTCTTTTTTTTTTTTTTTTTTTTTTTTAAGAAAAGGTTTTTGTTCTGTGCTGGGTTTCCAGGAGTATACTGTCACACATGGCCAAAATTCATAGAATTTTATATTTATGTTTGGATCATAACTTACTATATTGCCTTTGTTTTTCTCTGAAGTTTTAATTGCCCCATTTTATTTTAAAGATTGTATTGTGGTGATATCTTTTTATGTCTCTTTTTTCTGGTCACATAATCGTCCTGTTGTTTATGTGGAATACTTTCACAGTGAGGTCCCTTTGCTTTCAAATGGCATGTTATGTGGCCATTTCTTTGAGATAGGTTTGCTGCATCTCATATCTCATCTCCCCTTCTCCTCTTCTTCCCCACCTCTTCTTTTTTTCTCTCTGTCTCTCTCTGTCTCTGTTTCTTTCTCTGTGTCTGTCTGTCTCTGTGTCTGTTTGTCTGTCTGTCTCTCTCACTCACTTTGTTGTCGATATGCATCATAGTGCTTGTTCGGAGGCTACCCTGATTCTATCTCTCGAAGAGACTTCAGTTTATTGTCACACTTAATTGTTAATTTAGATGGTTGTAGAGTGCCAAGTTGATGAAATTTTCTGTCACAATTAAAGGCATTGCTCCCTTGTCTTTTACCACTTATTCAGTGAGAACTCTGGTAGTCATATGATTCTTACACCTTGTAGGTAAGCATTTTTCCCTTTTCTGTGATGCTTTTATGTTTATCTGATTATTAGAGATCTGAAAGTTTATTATCACTTCTATCTATGAAGATTTTTTTCTTTCTTCTTAGACTTACTATATGTCATTCCAATCTGTAGATTCCTATTTCTGAAGCTGTAAGAAAAATTTTCTTGTGACTTTTTGATGTTTTAAATCACTATCTTCAGTGGTTCTCAGTGATCCTTACCTACTGGTATTTATGTCTTTTCTTTTATGTGCATCAGCGCTGGTCTGCACGACCATAGAATATAGCACAAGTGATAGTATGTTATTTTGAGTACTGCCTTTCGAAATTATGACTTATGCTGTCCTGGTTGCTATCTCTGTCGTGAAGTACTCATTCTAGTATTTGGGGCTGCCATGCCCTGAGCAGGCCCATGAAGAGACCTGAGGCCTCTGGCCAGCAGCCATGTGCAGGAGACTGGATGTGAAGATGCTGTGCTAATTAAACCTCTAGGTGACTAAGGCTGGCTTGTAGTTTGGTAGCAGTTTTAGGAGAGATCCTGAGCTATAACCAGCCATAAAGCTAAGCTGTTTCCAGATAACTTGCCCTCAGAAACTGTTAAATGTTTTAAGTCACTGAACTTTGGGGCTTATTTGTTACAGAAAAGTATTGCCATACTTCTCTTGTTAGGGATTCTAGGTTGGATGATAAATCTCTTAGATGAATCTCTTGGTGATCCCCCTGTTTACAGCTTCCTACGAGCTGGGATTACACATCTGTGCCACCACACCCAGTCTCAATTGCTGTCTCAGCGTGCCCGGGGGGGGGGGGGCAGCACCACAGGCCCTGGGATCGAACCCGGACCCCTGCGCCTGCTTACAGGTGCTTTAATCTGCTGAGCTTTTTGGCCGGCTCTTCATTATGTTTTTTAATTGTTCTTTTTTTTTTTTTTTGGGGAGGAGCCGGGGATTGAACTCAGGCCCTTGTGCTTGCCAGGGAAGCACTTATTCCACTGCGCCATCTCCGTGGCCCTTAATTGTTCTTTTTACTTTATATACAGAGAGATTTCTTTTCTTCAGAATCCTGTTATTTGTGTATAGAACTTTTTTTTTTAAATCTTTCTGAATGTGTTTGGGGTATGTTTTGTTTTTCTCTCTAAATTATCCTTCTGAATTGCTTTTTAAATTTACAGAGGTCATGTTGCTAATTTTCCTCATTTGCCTGATGATCCTTATGTAGAGAGAAGAGACCAGTCAACCCTCAGACTTCAGTTAGGGGTGGGAGGACAGCAGACCCTTCTGTGTCAGAAGCCCCTGTCTCCTCTAACCAGCTTGTTCAGTTTCTTGGGAAAATAAATTTCAGTTTATCCACTTGGATGCCCTGTTCAGTCAGGGATAGAGGAGGGGTGCCACATAGTGAAGAGTGTGTATGTAGTCCTTCCAATAATTAGTGTTCAGAGTTACCTTACCTGATGGCTCCTGCCCTCAGTTTTGCTGGCTAATTCTGAGTTCACATTGAGTTGACAATTGTAATGGACAGATAAATTTTCCCCTTTGTGTAACTTTCTTATAGCATATAGATAGTTGCAGCTTTTATGTCTTTCACACTGAAAGCATGTCTTCCTCTCCTTCAATCCCTCAAAAATTTTGTCGATGTCTCTTTTTCTAGCACTACATTGTTTTCCTATATTATTCTTGTGGGACTATTTCTTCATGTATTTTGCTTTTTTCGTTTCAGTAGGTTTTTTTTTTTTTTTTTTTTTAAAGAATGAATGAGGGATAAAGCATGTTCAGCTTGGGGTCTTGAATCAGCTATAGATGCTTGATGACTTCGTAGGGTTAATTACAATAAATCTATTTAAATATTGTCATGTTAGGGCCAACCAGATAGCTCAGCAGATTAAAAGCGCCTGGAAGCAGGTGCAGGGGCCAGGCGTTTGATCCCCAGGCCTCTGTGCCAGCCCCACCCCTGGGGTTTGCTGAGACAGCAATTGAGATTAGATGTAGTGGTGCACACCTGTAATCCCAGCTCTTAGGAAGCTGTAAACAGGTGGATCACTAGGAGTCGGATCTAGTAGTGAGGCCCTGAACACTCTTTAGACCCTTCCCTAAAACACAATCAATCAATCACTCAATCACTCAGTATTGTCATGTTTAAAATGTATCTGGTATATGTAGCATGCTGAACATCAAGGCTTAGTAACATAGTCCACTGTGGAGCATTTGTTTTCCTCCCCCAGTCACTTGGCTGCCTGGGAGCTATGGCTCTCTACTACTGTCCTGCACTGTGAGAATATCATACTTTATTTGCCCCCCCAGGAAAAGAGCAAAATTCAGAATTTGAAGTATGGCTCCTATCGAATGTGCATTGCTTTTGCACAATTGTAAAGTTGAACTATTGTAAGTCAGATGATCATATATCAAGGACTGCTTTGCACTTGGTAATATGTATTGATATATAGGTATAAGGCTAAATTTTCTATTATTACAAAAGCATTAAAATTGCATTGTAAGAACTTGGAAAACATGAACAACAATAACAAAGAAAGTGAATAATATTATTTTACTACCACATTTCCTAAGGTAGGCTGTATTTTTATATTTTTTGTAAGTATGTATACACATACAAATGCGTTTTTTTACCAAAACGAAATAATTTCAACATGCAGTTTTTTGTTATGAAAATTTCTACACAAACAGAGCCTGAAAGAAAAATATTATGAACAGCTATGTACTGATAGAACCATCTCCTCACAAACATTTTTCTGTGTTATTTTCTCATTCTCTTTCCAATAAATGAAGTAAATTGCCTGCATCAGTTCGCTGTTTTACTTATAAATAC